AGGGGACATTACTGTAAAGTTTCAGCTTGTAGCTTTTCCCGTTCCCGGGTTAGTAATTTTCGCGCCAAAATTTCCATGCGCTCATATGTGGGCACGGGCGCTTCTAAACACCTGATCTTGGTCGTACATGAGTAGGGAACATTCCCTCAAAGTTTCAGCTTTCTAGCTTTCCCCGTCCTCGGGTTAGTGATTTTCGCGCCAAAATTTTCACGTGCCCGTAAGTAGGCCCTTAGCGAACTTTCTAGCTTTTCCCATCCTCGAGTTATGAATTTTCCCGCCATAATTTTCACGTGCCCGCACGTAGGCCACGGGTGTATGGTAGGTGGGAAGGGGAGCACCGTATAGTTATGTGCACTGCGTGGTGTCACGGGGTGTGTCGGGGATGAGAGAGGCGTGGGAGCATTTGAGGACTTTTGCCTGGGCGGGGGTGGGTGCCTGTTGCATTCATGCATCGTTGCAGTCTGTTCCTCTCGATTTGCTCTCAAAGATGTCACGTATTGGCCCGGTGATCACATTCCTGAACCATTTCGGCATTTCAGTTTCGTTGTGCGCGAGCAGAATGCAGCGCCTCTCGGGTTTTTATGCGTTTTTGCCGTGCAGCGCTAGAGCGCTGCAACAGGCAGCAAAAATGCATGTTGCAACGGCCCTGTTAGTGTGTGTTTGTGTGTATGCTTGTGTGTGTGTGTGTTCGTCTGTCTAGGTATTTCAACCTCTTAACCACGCAAGCTTTGAAGCTGAAATTTTGCCAGTGTGTTCCCCAGCCAGGTACCACCCCAGGACGGCGGTTTCAACCCTCTCGTACGTCTGGGCCTCGCGTACGAGCACATGAAAGTTTTGGCGTCAAAATCGCTAACTCGGGAACGAGAAAAGCTAGAAATCTGAAACCTTGGGAGAATGTTCCCTACTCATGCACGACCAAAAATTTTTAAATTCAGCTCCTTAGGACCACCAGGGGCTCACATACGGGCAAGTGAAAATTTTTTGCGCGAAAATTACTAACCCGAGAACGGGAAAAGCTAGAAAGCTGAAACTTTGAGGGGATCTTCCCTATTCATGTACAAGCAAAATCAGGCGTTTAGAAGCGCCCGAGACCACATGCGAGCGTGTAGAAATTGTGGCGCGAAAATTACTAACCCGGGACGGGAAAAGCTAGAAAGCTGAAACTTTAAGGGGATGTTCCCTACTCATGTACGACCAAGATCAGCTGTTTAGAAGCGCCGTGCCCACATACGAACGCGTGGAAATTTTGGCGCGAAAATTACTAACTCGGGAACGGAGAAAGCTAGAAAGCTGAAACTTCAAGGGAATGTTCCCTACTCATGTACGAGCAAAATCAGGCGTTTGGAACCCCCCGAGCCCACATGTGAGCGTATTGAAATTTTGGCGTGAAAATTACTAACCTGGGAACGGGAAAAGCTGGAAAGCTTTTAAGGGAATGTTCCCTACTCATGTACGAGCAAAG